CTCCTTATTATATATTGAAGGCTTCCTCTGGGCCAAACTATGATAAGCACTTTATACGGCAATGTGATAGCGTAGTTCTCAAACCGCAGGCTTTGGAATCGTTCTGCCAGGTTTATCCCTTTGGACACATCACCTAATCTAGTCTAGCCTCATATATTACAGTGCAATAATAGTAATAGCACTTGCCTCATTGGATTAATATGAGAATTAATGAACGTATCTAGGTAATATGCTTACTTTAGTGCCTGGCACATAGGAAGCGTTTGAGAAATGTTACACGTTGCCATGAACCATTATTTCCACTAAGTATGTCCACCTCTCTCTCTTTGAAAAGTTCAAGGGAACAAAAGATTTTGAGAGTTTAACTTCCGGTCCAAAGTCCCACAACCTGTTAAGTGGGAGATTTGAGATTCAAACCCAGTTCAAGGGGTGGAATGGAGTCCGTGCTCTTCCCCGTTGCACCAGACTGCCTTCACCAAAGTTTTTTTTTTTTTTTCATTCAACCATTTAAATATACCTCTCTTCTCCTTCACAAAATGATTACCACTTTGTCCAATGCATAATTTATTCTCAATTCTTACCATTTTTCTGCCTGTTTGATTCTTCTCCTCAGTTTGCAATTTGACGGTTGCATTTCTGCATTGTACTCACAGTTTTCAATACCATCTGTGATAAACTAGCCATTTTGCTTCCACACATTCCTAAAGATAAGACTATTTCTTAAGAAAAAGTCGAATACAGCAGAAACAGATTCTCAGATGTAATCGTCGTGATGTGCAATGAATATCTGAGCACTCACAGGGTCATTACACTTTCAAATATTCCTTTTCGTGTCTGCATGGTAAAGACTCAGTAACACTCTTCTAAAGACAGCTGGCTATTGTAGTCTGGCTGAAAAGCTTCACCAACAGATCTGTGCTCAGTTTGACAATGAGAGAACAAAGATGGTGCAAGTTTTAGATATATGTGTTCATGTATTCATAAAAGTCCCATATATGTATATATGTATGTATGTGTATATGCACATACACATGCACATACACACTTCTCTAATCATTCTGCACTAATAAGCAGTATATACTTGGGCTTCTATGGGCTGCATTCACAAGCCGCCACCATAAACTGAAGACAAACAATTCAGTCACCTACCAGCCTCCTGAATTGAAACCACTGACCTTCGGTGGTTTTCCTAGGACTTTGGGGTATAGATAATTTGAGAAGTCAGTGATTAGAAGTCCATTGCTGTCACTTGTATATGATAGCAAACAGGGTCATTTTAGTCCTGTATTATCAAATAGGGGCTTCACAATTATAACAAGACACAGCTGTGTAAGTCCGGACCAGCAGCAATGAACGCAATGTATTTGTAAAAATGTTGTCAATCGGCATGGTTCTCTGTTCCGTCTTTTCTTTGTTTTGTTTTTGTATTTTTTGCTTTGTCCCCAGTGGCCACATAGCTTTGGTTTCCTGGGGACAGGAGCTGTACCTTGCTCATCCCTTTCACACCCCCTCCAGGAGAATAGCACTTGGTATATGTTTTTTACTCCGTGAAGAAGTATATTTAACTCAAACTCACATTTTTTTAAATTCTTTAACTGGGCAGGAAGTTATGAGTTTTAAAAATGTCATTTTTTCCTCTAAATCTTTTAAAACTAGTTCAGCATTTATTTATTATTATTTTTTAAGATTTTATTTATTTGACAGACGGAGATCACAAGTAGGCAGAGAAGCAGGCAGAGAGAGGAGGAAACAGGCTCTCTGCTGAGCAGAGAGCCCAATGTGGGGCTCGATCCCAGGACCCTGGGATCATGACCTGAGCCAAAGGCAGAGGCTTTAACCCACTGAGCTACCCAGGCACCCCTGGTTCAGCATTTACTGAGCACTCATTGTATCCAAGAAGTACTTTGGGAGAAATGTGAGGAAGTGCTAGACAGAGGGCAGGCAAGTCCATCTCTACCTTCAGGGAGCTCCCAGACTGATTGCATTATAGACCAGTATCTAAATAATTATCAAGCTACAGATCTTGCCTCTGGGCTCTGAAAGTCTAGCCACATTCTCAAGACAGACAGAGCATCACTTCCTGTGTTAAGCTTTACAAACAGAAAGCAATGCATACATGGTGCCCTTCACTTTTTTTTACATTAGCTTTTTAGGTTGCAGAACTCAGGAAAACCACATAAGAGGAAGCTCAACTTTTTTTTTTTTGCTTCCAATGTATAAACATACTTGATAATATGAATTATTGAGAAACAGCTCCCAGTTGATGCAGGCTCTGGGCCACATGTTCACCCTTTCTCTAGTGACCCTTCAGATCTTTATGCCTTACGCATTGGGACGATGGTTACCAAGTTAGGAGGTAGCAGGAAGTGCATGTCCATTTACGACTGTACCACGGCCATTTGGTAATCACAGCTATGCCACAGTAAGCACTCCTAGAGGATAAATGAGGGGAAATGGAGGTTCTAGGGGACTTGGGGGCTCTCAGACACTTCAAAATGACCGTTTTCTTTTTTTTAAAAGATTTTATGTATTTATTTGACAGAGAGAGCACATGAGCAGGGGAAGCAGCAGGCAGTGAGAGGGAGAAGCAGGCTCTCCACTGAGCAGGAAGCCTGATGTGGGACTTGATCCCAAGACCCCAGGATCATGACCTGAGTTGAAGGCAGATGCTTAACCTACTGAGCCACCCAGGCGTCCCTCAAAACGGTCATTTTCTGTGTCCTACATCATTGGAATATTTCATCCAAGATCTATCTCTTCTGTTATTTATTCTACACACGTTTCCTTAATTGTGCCATTTTGTTCCCATATTAGGGACTTGTGTGGGAAAAGCTATAGATCCTGTCCATAAGGAATTTATATGTCTGGCTAGACCATTTAAAGGCCAGAGATGTGTTGCTCTCACTCCTGACCCTTCTGAAGGAACAACTGTTAGGTTCTGAAACTTTATATACAGTATTTGCTTTAAGAGACTACAGCACAGGAAGTCCCAAAATACACCACAGAACATGAATAGGTTGTGAGTGATATTACGCTGTAGCTTAACGCATACTGTAGCCAACGGCAAGAGCTCTCATAACTAATTATATTCATTTTGCACTTAACAGAGACATTCAAAGTATAGATCTTAAAATGTGTAAGTTGAACTTTTGTTAAAATTACACTCTCCCTAGGGAAAATCATTCCCTTTTCTAGCTATACTTCAGGCTATAGTCATAGGCTGCCAAAACACTTCATTTAATTGAGGGAAAGGTCCATCCAACTGTTGTCAGGGATCATATAACAACCAGTTGTTTGGCTGATTTTTTTTAAACCTTATAACTATACGTTTGTGTTCTGGTGACCCAGCCCGAGGCTACTTAAGAGAGACATCTGAATTGAGAGTTGATTCAAGCAGGCAATGAAAGGAACACTGTGCATCCTCACAGACTTTTGGCATTTTATAAAACTTCTACATACATGACCGCATTTAAGTATTCCCAAAGTCTCTGCCGGTAGAGGTAGGATTATTGTCCCTGATTTTCAGATGAAATATTATTTCAGAAGTGGCAGAGATGGGTTTTAAACATAGGTGTTCTTCTTCTAAATCCTGATATTTTCCCACATCACATTTCTAAAATCTAGCATGTGCCAGGATAAATCTTTGCCAGAATCGTGTTTCCAATCTGATTGTTGATACCAAAATGACAACGCTGCTTAGTTCTCTCTTAATGTATTGCGTGCATAAGTCAGATTCTAAGCTTGGAATTCTCTAAAAGGAAACTCATGTGTTTCCGATGTCAAGAGGGAACTACTGGGAACCAGGGAAACAGTATGGCATTTATTAGTAGCCTTGGGTTTCTTCTTAAGTGTAGAAATAAGAAATGCCTTTAGTTCTGGACTTGACCTGGAATTTGTCTTATACTAGATCACTAAGGACAACCAGTTGTGGTAAACAAAGCAGTGGAATTAGGGCTGTAAATTAAACTCCAAATGCTTTCAGTAGAATGCGACTTAAGGTCACATCAACCCATATTCACATGGTCGCTAGAACAAGCAGGACATAGTGTAGATATTGAGTTGGGGGGAGGGAGTCATATGTCCTGTTTTGCCCAGAACAGTCCTGACTTACTGCCAGTCAGGTCCTATCTGCTTAAAGCTACTGACCTCTTCACTCTCAAAAATTACATGGTCAGGGGTGCCTGGGTGGCTCAGGGGGTTAAGCCTCTGCCTTCGGCTCAGGTCATAATCTCAGGGTCCTGGGATCCAGCCCCACATCAGGCTCTCTGCTCAGCGGGGACCCTGCTTCCTCCTCTCTCTCTGCCAGCCTACTTGTGCTCTCTCTCTCTCTGTCAAATAAATAAATAAAATCTTTTTAAAAAATTACATGGTCTATCTAGTTAGAATAGATACAAAATCAAAACAAACTCAGAAACTGTCCTCAAGATTATACTATGACGGAGACATAAGAAAAGTATACCTGTACATATAAAGTCAAGCAGAATATTCCCGACAAGCAAATGTTGGGGGAGTTTAGAAGTATGTATTTAGCTGGGGTTAATGAGGGAGGATATATCACTTTATGTCATTTTCCACAGCAATGATGAGTTGTCAAAAATGTTGGAATAGAAGCAAAACGTGCTAGTATTGAGAAGTGTGGTTCAGATGTCCTTCTCCATTGAGGAAGACCTATTTTGTTCTAAGTCCTTTGGCTGAGTCACACCAGACAATCTGAAAATTTCTATCAGTGAGGGCACTAACTGCAGAAAATTCATAATGTCTTAGCTGTGAATCTGTACTTCTGGCTAATTCTGTTCCTATCTCCCCCTGCTCAGATTGATGCAGGTGTCAGTATGATTGTCGGGAAGGGTGATGCTTCTGAAATGAGAAAGCACTCTACAAAAATGCCCATTAAAAACACTTCCTGCCCCCTCCTCCCCACCCCCCTAACCCCCCACCCACACTCTCTATTCTTGAAAGGAAAGTGCCTATTTGAACCTCACAGTTTTTGGTGGTGAGAATATAAATTCTAGGCTGGTCTCTATTGTGAACGCTCTTTATCTGATTATTTAAAGCCTTCTACTTTATGGTTACTTCCTCTATTGAACTATTAAATCTCCCACCGGTAAGGACCTGTCTCCATTGCCCACCTATTTCACAGCTGTTGGAGGGGACACTGTTTGCTGCCTTGCTCAGGTATTTATTTTTAAAACTTTCATGTCCGTTTGTATGTGAGTTACACTAGGCACTGTGGGTGATAAGAAAGAAAAGCGGTAAATAATGGCTTTTGACCTTAATAGGGGACCACACATCATAATTTGCTTGGACAGTTCAGGTTTGTGCCAGGTTTCCTGATGTAATTATTAATAATAATCTCTTTTCACTCTCAAAAGTGTCCCAATTTAGATAATAAATGATATGGTCCCCTAGACCTTAGAGGCTTTAAATTCCGTTAGGGAGACGGGAGACACAAACAGAAAAAGACAACTAACACAACAAAGGAGTGCATGATGAATGTCAAATACACAATCTGTGCCGTCAGGAATGGAACCACATTTTAGGAGGAGAGGCTGCCGAAGGCTTCAGCCATCTGGTAGACTGCCTCGAGATGAGGCTAAGGTCGGCTCTTGAAGAACACGTAGAATTCAAACAGGTGGTGAAGAAAGAAGATCAGGCAATCAGCCCTTCACTTGAGACACTGCTAAAATCAAAGCAAAGCATAATTTTTTCAACGTGAATAAGTTCTTGTAGAAATGATTTCCTCTCTCCTAACTAAGCTGACGTTTCAGGCAAACCAGCTTGGCAGCTTGAGCAGAAAATCCATTTTGGTCTCTTTAAATATATGGGTGTTTTCCTAATGTTCACTTTGTTTCCCCCACCACATTAATGAGCCATTTGCCTTGCTGACACCGTCACCATCCCATGGCTTTGGAGAGACCAGAGCACATGCCCAGTCATGGAATCCCGGAGGGCACTTTGGGCTTCGATGACAGTTCCAAGATGTGGAGCTGCACACATCACCCATTTCCTACTTGGCCACCTTTTCAACCACCCTCTTGGTCCATTTGAGTACAGGGACACCAATGAGAAGGAAATGCCGGGTGGGAACACATGCATCAGGCCACACGATTTTCAAGTCCTCTTAAGGAAGTGATGGAAAATGTCTGTCATTTTTACTTATGATTCAAAGTGTCTGCAATGAATAAAGTTGGGTTTAATGCTTTTAAGGTGTGAGTGTCACAACTATCTTGGCTTCTTTGAGCATCATTCCATTAAATTACATATACATGGCTGTTCTCTTCTTAGAGCTTAATTACATCAATGTTTTTTAGGTTTTCTCTTCTTTAAGAATGGAAATCTTTCATTCAAGAAAAGTCTTAGAGAAAGATGCTAAGTTGTATGAGACAAAGTCTGCTAGTTAGCAACCCAATATACACTCTCTTCTTCTTTCTTGCCAAGGAAGCCCCAGTTTTTATTTGGGGTGCAATATACCCACCTTAAAATAATAAAACCCAGACTCCCCCGCTTTCCTTTTATCTGAAGGTGGTTACATGACACAGGTCTAGCCAAAAGAATATACAATATGAAGTGTTCAAGAAAATCCATCAACGAGGACTAAACCATTTGGCATGTACTTTTTGCTCTTTCCATTTCCCTCTAGCCTGCCTGAGCTGTGGACATAATGGCTGGAGCTCTGGCAGCCTTCTTGAGAACACGAAGATGGGGGCACAGCCCAAAGAAGTAAGAACAGAAAGCCATAAGGAACTTGGATATCTACTGATATCACGGAACTACCATACCAACTCCTGAACTTCCTACTTGTAGACTTATTATAGAAAAACTTCTTTATGTCACTTATTTCTTTGTTGCTTATTTAAAGGTTTCTGCAGTAGAGAAAAAGGGCAATTTAATGTTAAACTGTTAAATGTTAACCTGTTGAATGTTTAACTGACAAATAGGACACTTCTCTGGTTGAAATAAAGGTAAATGGAGACTAGAGTTTCACATCCCATAATATTTGAATTATAAGCTATTTACCAAATAATGTTGGGTTAATGTAGCATTTCTGGAGGCACTAACAATGAAATAGCAGACCATCTCTAAATTATTTAATCTTTTTAGAGTCAGTCCCTCTGTATTGACTGTAGAATGCCCTTGAGATAAAAATATTGGAGGGAACTATAATTTCTTTTTCTATTACTTCAGAGCAAGGGCTAGTAAATCCAGAGTGCTCTGATCCAGACCTTAACCACCATTGAATAATATCCCTTTTCCAGTTTAAGCACAAAAACAAGGTACAAAAAAATAGAAAGAGAGGAAGATACTTATGAATTGCTGGTCATTTTATTTATATTATACCATGCAATCATCAATACAAACTCATGAGGGTGGGAGATCCAAGTGTTTTCTAACTCTCACAGGTACCATTCATATCAAATACAATGAAGAGGGTGTCCACACAATGAAGCACCCCTAAATTAGAGGGCATGACTAGCTTTACTTATCTAACATTCCTTTCTTTGCAGAACCAGCCTCCATTCCACAGCAATCTTGTACATCTGTATGGTTCAGTGAGCCTATTTTCCTTGCCTTTTTTTGGTCATTTGACCCAAGCTCCATCCATCTGATTCTCCACAGTGAATTCAAAAACGTTCCTAACTAAAAACAGACCAATGAGAGGACCCGTGAGACTTTACCTGGAGCAAAGGGGAAAGATCTCTTCTACCTCTTGGATCTTGATTGTAAGAAACATGTGAGCCTTCAATCTTCTAATGGCTATCTCACTGCTGTGTGTCAAGAACATACCTGAAAATGGAACTAAAATTATTTGAGAACACAGAGCCAGTCATGTGAAACATACTGGACTTTTTTAGTTACATGGGTCTGTTAATAACTTTTTCTTTTCTTTTCTTTTCTTTCCTTTTCTTTTCTTTTCATTTTTTTTGTCATTGTCACAGTATCTTTATTTTTTTTTAAATTTTTTAAATTTATTTTCAGTGTAACAGTATTCATTGTTTTTGCACCACACCCAGTGCTCCATGCAATCCGTGCCCTCTACAATACCCACCACCTGGTTCCCCCAACCTCCCACCCCCTGCCCCTTCAAAACCCTCAGATTGATTTTCAGAGTCCATAGTCTCTCATGGTTCACCTCCCCTTCCAATTTTCCTCAACTCCCTTCTCCTCTCCATCTCCCCTTGTCCTCCATGCTATTTGATATGTTCCACAAATAAGCGAAACCATATGATAATTGACTCTCTCTGCTTGACTTATATCACTCAGCATAATCTCTTCCAGTCCCGTCCGTGTTGCTACAAAAGTTGGGTATTCATCCTTTCTGAGGGAGGCATAATACTCCATCGTTACCTGATTTCAAGCTTTACTACAAAGCTGTGATCACCAAGACAGCATGGTACTGGCATAAAAACAGACACACAGACCAGTGGAACAGAGTAGAGAGCCCAGATATGGACCCTCAACTCTATGGTCAAATAATCTTCAACAAAACAGGAAAAAATATACAGTGGAAAAAAGACAGTCTCTTCTATAACTGGTGCTGGGAAAACTGGACAGCTACATGTAGAAGAATGAAACTCGACCATTCTCTTAACACCATACACAAAAATAAACTAAAAATGGATAAAAGACCTCAACATGAGACAGGAATCCATCAAAATCCTAGATGAGAATATAGGCAGTAACCTCTTCGATATCAGCCACAGCAACTTCTTTCAAGATATGTCTCCAAAGGCAAAGGAAACAAAAGCGAAAGTGAACTTTTGGGACTTCATCAAAATCAAAAGCTTCTGCACAGCAAAGGAAACAGTCAACAAAACAAAGAGGCAACCCACGGAATGGGAGAAGATATTTGCAAATGACAGTACAGACAAAAGGTTGATATCCAGGATCTATAAAGAACTCCTCAAACTCAACACACACAAAACAGACAATCATATAAAAAAATGAGCAGAATATATGAACAGACACTTCTCCAATGAAGACATACAAATGGCTATCAGACACATGAAAAAATCTTCATCCTCACTAGCCATCAGGGAGATTCAAATTAAAACCACATTGAGATACCACCTTACACCACTTAGAATGGCCAAAATTAGCAAGACAGCAAACAATATGTGTTGGAGGGGAGGTGGAGAAAGGGGAACCCTCTTACACTGTTGGTGGGAATGCAAGTTGGTGCAGCCACTTTGGAGAACAGTGTGGAGATTCCTCAAGAAATTAAAAATAGAGCTTCCCTATGACCCTGCAATTGCACTACTGGGTATTTACCCCAAAGATTCAGATGTAGTGAAAAGAAGGGCCATCTGTACCCCAATGTTTATAGCAGCAATGGCCATGGTTGCCAAACTGTGGAAAGAACCAAGATACCCTTCAACAGACGAATGGATAAGGAAGATGTGGTCCATATACACTATGGAGTATTAATACCTTTTTCTTAAAAAGCTAGTTTGGTTTCTGTTTCTGTCATTTGCTATCAAAGAGTTTCAACTAATGCAGGTAACTGTTGCCATCTCTATGAGGCTCTGAGAAATTAAAAGACTTCGCCAAGCCTAGTCAGTAATTGACGGAAACAGGATTCTAATATAAGACAATCTGGTACTCACATACATCTTCTTTTCATTACACTATGCTGCCTCCCCAAGCTGATAACAATCAATCACAATTATGGAAATCATGTTGATGTATCATTAGGCTTTCTAAAATATATCATTTCTACAAATACAGTTTACATGTCCTAAATTTTATGCTAATTCTATTTGGTAAATTTCCAAAGCTGAGTTATCATTGTTTGTTATGGAAACATTTCCATATTTACAAAGGTATGGAGAATGTTTTCTGAGACCCATCAACAAATCCTTTTTGAACACCTACTATGTACATGGTGTTGGATTCATTATTAACAAGGAAATAAAAGAATGAAACGAATGGAAATAATAGTCTAGAGCACAAGGTATTTTTAAGTCACTATATAGTCCAAGACAGAAAGTGGTAAGTGTTGTAACACAAACACAGGAAAAAATACTATCACAAAATGGAGTGGGCTGGTAGGGACGATGTTATCTGAGCTAGGTAATGGCGATCATATAGGACTAAATATGAGGCGATGTGAATAGGACATTATAAGCCAGACAGAGCTTTCTGCAATGATGAAAATGTTCTATATCTTCCCTGGGTAACATGGTAGATACTGGCCATGTATGACCATTAAACATTTAAAATGTGGCTAATTCAATAACTATATGGCTAATGCCTACTGTTTTGGCCATTGCAGTTCTAGAGAACTAGCCTTTCAAATAGCATAAGCAAATGTAGAGGATGGGAAGAATGGAAAGCACAGGGTTTGCATAAATGATAGAGCAAGTCATCTATTTCAGGTGGAATCATGCTCAGAAGGGAGAGAGTGAGAAATCATATTCATTGACTGGGTCTAGATGGTCAAAGATTTCCACTTTGGGCTAATGGTGGCTTCTGAGCTAAGAAGTGGTAAGGCCAGCCCACTCCAGTGGGAAAACTGAACCAGCAGCAAGGGGTGTGTAGAACTAGAAAGGATCCAGCAGAGAAGTAGATGCACACGGAAGACCACAGTGAGGGTCCAGATGAGCTCACGAAAGACCTTGAGTGACAAAGGAGGTGTTGTCAAAAAGATGGATGTGGAATCCATTGTGAAAGAAGAAACAAGAGAGGGGCACCTGGGTGGCTTGGTGGGTTAAGACTCTGCCTTCAGTTCAGGTCATGACCTCAGGGTCCTGGGATCAAGCCCTGCATCAGGCTCTCTGCTCAGCGGGGAGCCTGCTTCTCCCTCTCTCTGCCTGCCTCTCTGCCTACTTGTGATCTCTGTCTGTCAAATAACTAAATAAAATCTTAAAAAAAAAAAAAAAGAAGAAGAAGAAGAAGAAACAAGAGAACTACACCAATTAGAAGGCTTGGAAGGTGAGGAAGAGGAATGTATTTTGGAGAAGAACGGAAGAAAAATTATCCGAGAAACAGATTTGGTGGTAGAGCCATCTGATTTAGAGAGACATTCTGAGTTATATTTTAGACCTTTTGAGTGTCAACAGATAGTGTTAGAAATATAAGTACAGAATTAAAGAGAAGTGTTTAAAAATGCGGTAGAAATTTGGGAATTATCTGCATATAGATTTGAGATATGCAAACTACAGCCCTCAGGCCAAATCTGGTCTTCCACCTGTTCTGTAAGTACAGTTCGATTGGAATACAGCTGCTCTCATTTGTTTCCCTATTATCTATAGCTGCTTTGCAGTATAAATACAGAGTTCAATAGTTTCAACAAACTGTTATGAAGTTGAAATTATTTACTCTTTAGCTCTTTACATTTGCTGACCCTGGTATAAATGATAGAAATCACCCAAATCCATGAGACCTTAGGAATTTTACTATAGGAAATTCTGTTCATTAGAATGCAATATAATGCTCTGTTAACTTTTACTATGATATTGATACATCTGTAATATATTAATATTCAGAGTGAAAATACAGAGATCCTCCATGATCTTAAAATATTTCTTGGATCACCAAGAAAAGATAAATTATTCCCCATATAAAAATGTATCAAATGGGGGCACCTGGTTGGCTCAGTGGGTTGGACCTCTGCCTTCGGCTTGGATCATGGTCCCGGGGTCCTGGGATCGAGCCCCGCATCAGGCTCTCTGCTCTGAGGGGAGTCTGCTTTCCCCTATCTCTCTCTCTCTGTGCCTGCCTCTCTGCCTACTTGTGATCTCTGTCTGTCAAAATAAATAAATAAAATCTTTTTAAAAATGTATTAAATGTATCGTATTTTTGTCCAGATATTTAGGAATGGGTTCTCCTTTGGTGATTTATATTTGATTATCAATTAACCATAGTATTTTGTTAGGCAGAACACTTCATTCTCTGTCTATGCCAAATGAGATATATTTTAGGCCATATGAAATTCTCACTTTTAAACTCACAATTAAAGTTTCATCAATTAATGGAAA